TCTAAAAAGAGTTTCTGTGCATTGACAAGGATATCAACTGCGACATGGGGTCTATCATTTAATACATTAAAGATCATATACGGAGCTACTTATTTAGGTTCTATGTGCTATGGTGCACCTGTATGGGCCGATAGGGCGACCGTAGGCGCTGTCCGTCGCAAACTGTTACAAGGCCAACGACTTGCACTGATATTCTTGTGCAAGGCATATAGGACGGTTAGCACTGAGGCTTTGCCGGTGTTGGCGGGTGTGCTTCCGGTCGATCTCGAAGTGCAGAGACGTGCAGCCATGTACTATTCAAGACAACAAAACATGGATCGCGGTAAAATTACAAGATTGCTTCAACAGCAGTCCGATGTCTATAATGAAGTCATAGACGAATGGCAACAACGCTGGGGCGCCATCATCTAAGGGGCGCCATCTTTACCAATTCTTTCCATCTGTTCGCGAACGGTTGTCGAGGACATGGCTTGAAGTGGATCACTGTGTCGCTCAATTTCTTACGGGTCATGGTAACTTTAAGAGCAAGCTTTATTCATTTAAATTAGTCGGGTCACCATTGTGTCAATGCTCAACACCTAACTCTCACTATGAACAGTCTGCTCATCATATCCTCTGGGAATGTAGTCTTTGGTATAATAAACGTAATATAATGCTGAATACCTTGCAGGTGACATCTGGGGCGGTATACTATGGGGATCTTGTGTCAACTAGGATGAATTTCCGTGCGTTTAGGCGATTCTGCCATACATATTATAGAAATCAAATATAGCTCACGTAGGACCCGTAATATTTCGTGGCCGTGGTGCTTCCCTGTTTAAAAGGGTGTATGCCCATTTTACTTCATTTTGTCTCCCGCTTTGCTAAGGAGGGAAGTGGATTTACTGTATTTCCAACTCCTCCAATTTTCTTCTGATTAATTTCGTTGCGGGTTCCAAGACAGTTTAATTTCTTCCTGGGACTTCCCGAGTGTCATAACTCGGTGTGTTCGTGGGTCACTGCTGTGGATCCTGGTGTACAGGAGTTACAGTGGTAGGCGTGTGGGCGGGATTAGTCCCTGTAAAAAAAAAAAAAAAAAAGTACGTAACCTGATAGATTCCAATTGACGCTGTGAGTAAACAATAGCATTAATCCTTATACTTTCAACTGTTTTAAGATTCAAAATTTAAACAAATTCGAATTTAGAACAGTTCCAAATTCAAAATTGCCGGGAAATATGGAAACGACAGAACTTAAAAGGCATGCCTAGTAAGTCGTTTTTCTTATATTGGAGAGGGTTCATAGTGCAGTCGTATTTTAATTTCCTAGTAACTTTGATTGTTATAAATTATCTTGAGCATCTTTTGAAGACACCTGCAACCGGTATTTTAATTCTAAGGGATAGTTATCGTAATTACAAAGTGGATCTATACCTTTTGTAATGTTGCTAGGTAAGTTGAATTTCTTGCCGTATACTAGCTCAATAGAAGTATATTTAGTTTCCGTGTGGACGGAAGTATTATAGCTCAAGCACCAATATGGCAACTAAGTATTCCACGACTCAGGATATTTGTATTCTTAAAAAGCTTATTAAATGTTTGTGAGCATTTTCGAGGGCGCCTATGCTCTCGTGTCGGTAAGCACTAGAGTTAATCTTATTTATATGAAGTAATTTACAAGTTTCTTGCATTACTGTTGACATAAATTCGGATCCCCTATCGTTGGCAATTTCTCACCTCAGCGCTAGTTTTTGTGACTAAGGGACCCTGGGGCACCCCTAAATTTTCGTGGGAATATTTATAAACTCGATTTGAACAATCAATATGTTTCAATCCATAGCGACCGTTTTCTAATATAGCCGTTATTTTAAATGGACCTTTAAATTTTCTATCTAATTTTGTTTGGTGCCTTTCTTCAGATTTGAGAAACACGAAATCACCTAGTGAGAAAGGTCGTACTTTAGAATCTGTTTCTGAGGACTTAATGATATTACTGGAAGCACTAGATCTAATATCATCCAAGTTTAGTCTGGATATAACGTCGTTATGTGAACTAAAAGCTATTTTAGATAATCCCAATGAATTTACTTGTATACCAAACATCAGTTCAAGAGGGGTAAATCTAGTGATTCTCGAACGGGTACTAGTAAGGGCTAATTGAATCTCACCCAGTTGATCCTGAATCAAAAACAAATGATGTCCCACGAGTTGGTTTGCTGCATAAGTTGATTTGCTTGCTGCTCGAAGCGTCGTCTTCTTCTTACATATACCGCTTGGGGCAGGCGCTGGCTATGTGGCTGGTGTCCAGGCAGATGTAGCAGTAGGTTTTAGTCATTGAAGAATCTGGCTTAGCTGACATAGAAGTGTTTTTGGTGAACGAGCGATTTTCACTTCGACATTCGTGGCCCCGATGTCCTGTTCTGCACCAAAAATGACAGGAACCTTTAAATGGTATAGAAGGGTGGAACTTTTTTTGTTCTACTTCCGATGTTAAAGGATCATCGTTACGTCTCTTAAGTGAAAAGCTTCTTAAAGTACGAAAGTGTTGATGTTTATCGTTAATAATTATAGAGTTCAACTCCCGACGTATTTTTATCATCACATTGGGATAAAATCGAAATTGCAAAGCCCGTTGTAACCTTTTCGGGTAGGTTTGCGTTGGGGACTTTTTCTATAAGCTGCCATAAGCGTGTGCCCACTTCAGCTGGGTTTTCCTTGTCATCAAGGCGAAACTTAATGACCTGATCAAAATAGTCTTGCATCATCATTGGTTTTTAAAAATTTCGAAATTAATATTTCCTTAATAGCCTACCAGGACATGTTATCTGGCCGTATTTTTGTAAGACAAGTCGCAGCGCGACCCTTAGGAGCGTAAGTGAGTCCAATAATGAGATCAACACCCTCCAAGTTCTTTTTTTCAGTAATCAATTCGCTTAAGGTACACCAGTCTTTTATGTCGGAATCTGCGTCATCGGGATTGAATGACACCAATTTAAAGGGGGTAGGTGGATTGACGGGATGCTGATTTAAACTATTTGAAAATTTTAATAAAATTGCTTCCATACCGGAAGAAAAAAAAGACATTTGCTGTTCCACGCAGTTGATTGAGTTGGTTTGATCGTGAAGTGGGAGTGGATCCGATCCCACTTCTGATGTAAGAAGAGGATCGGCCATATTTAAAAATAAATTTATTTTAAGACTTGATAATATTTTATTCAACCAAATACAGAGAAACAGCAAATCACAGGACTAATAACAATTTGTTATTAATTAATCATTAAACTAAACTATGTTATAAATTAACATTTCAATAAAAAATCCTTAAATATTCGGGTATAATTAGTCCAGAAACCAAATTATAACCCGGAATAATAATTAATTCGTTTTCACGAATTAATCATCCAAAGTGTCTTAAGCTAGCAGCGAGGTACAACTAGTGCACCGAGCCACGCCAGAGCCAAGACTGCCTTGAAATCTGCTGGTTTTCACAACGTCCCGTAGGGGGCGTGTGATGGCTGGTTCGGGGCTTCGGCCCCCTGCCAGCGATTTCTACCGCTACCCCTGAATAGGCAGCGGCGTGCACAGGATTATGACACTAGGTATGCGGCAGAGTAGTCGGTCCCAAAAACTTTTTCTTTTATAGATTTTTAGCTTAGCCACAGCCACGCGATGTATCTCTAAGTCGGAAACCATGCCAACAGAACAAGTCTTAGATGTACTACTATTCATGTACATCTTCAACGGGAACACTGACAAAACTGCGATAGATCGGCGATAGATCGCGGTGGAGGAAATTCTAATAAGTAAAATAATAAGCTAAAATATTATAACTACTCACCTAGTCATCTTCAATTTTCTGATATTCACATATTCAAGGTTAAGGTTACTTGAGATTACTATACTGCCGTGCTTATTATAACCGCCGTATCCAACATTTTTTACCAAATTGAGTTAGTTACATATTCGGAATCGCCGTATCGAGATCTATAACTTTGTATTTGACGGTTTGTAAAAAAATGCTTGTTTGATATGATTTTTGATTTGTATAAGCGCAGTAACTACAAAAAGGAAAATAATTTCCTTAATATCTCAGCCGCAAGTGCTGGATACTGCTATAGATTTCTAAAGCGCCAGATTATTATTCATGTAGTACTTATCTTAACCGCGGTATCGGTTAACACGGCTCTGATATTAATGCAATCCCTATTATTGATGAGTCTTTTTCCTTAACATAAGTGCTTTAATCGCCACTTACGGCGATTATAATAAGAAAACTGTATTAATTGGTTTCCATTGAGTTACAATAATAACAGCCGTATGTGCACTTACGACGCTTATTACAAGAAATTGGAATGCAATAGATACGTTGTTTTATTTTCATAAGCGACAACTGCGTGTTACTGCGGTAATAATAAGGAAACTTCTCTTATAAGTTAATTGTAACCGTGCGTCGCGCGTCATGTACGGCTCTTTTGGCAAGGTACTCGAAATTAAATCACTACCCCGTTTGTGTTATTGCGCGGTGTTTTGCATTAAAAATGGGGGCAGAGGAAGCGGAGGAGCGGGAGTCGCGCATCAACGATCTTTCATTTCATTCGTTCAGTTGCTTGTTGACAAGCCCAAGAGCACGTTGTTGCGTGCGGTGATCTGGCGGAATTGGCGGTAAAACATTATTTCGTAAGTATAATCAATACTATTAAAATAAATAAAAATGCATTTTCTTAAAGAAACAACGTATACATAAAATACTCATTTTTGGTATTTCTCATAACAAAATTTAATGCGAAACGTATTTAACTATCCACGTTGCATGAGCCACGGTCCCGCCATTTTTGTTTTGTAAAATCTCAAAAATACGCGGTATCTTTCTTACATATTTTTATAAATTCCATAATGACAAATTCTAAACAATGTAAGTATTGAATTGTAATATATATTTTATTAATTTGGGCTTGAAGGTGTGTGTAGTAGAATATTTATGTATTATTCTTTTTTCACGTCATTATTTTTTTGATGCAGGGTATGTGGGCATCTGGTGCTAGACGTGATAAGATACTTGCTCTGACAACAGACCATCAACCCAGCAGCAAAAACAAGGCTGCTACTATAATGCAACTGCCGCTAAGACCTAAACCTATAGTGCATGCCAGCCCTACCAACCTGCCAGCTATAATCACAAAACCTAAATTAACTAATATTAATGACTTATGGAGCCGAGAATTGGATTTTAAAGACTTCAGCGTTGTTTTTGATTACTCTAAAGAATATGAAAATTCATTAAATCAATATTTACAAACTTATAACCTGTCAGAATTGAAGTTATCGTTTAATTTTTACGGTAGTAATGAGACAGCTTGTGCTGATTTTTTGCTATGTCAAGAAGTAATAGAGCTGTCCCCATTTTCAAAAAACAAAAATATTCATGAAGAAGATATTGATATTTTCCATGACTCCGACGATGATAAGGACAAAACATATATTCCCGAGACTTCAGATGCAGATTCAGGCGAAGACGAAATATTCACCAAAAAATCTAGGGAACGTAAAACACATTCACCATTAATATTACATGACATAACAATGGATAACTCAGCAATTGATGACAGAATGACTTTGGGTACCAGTATGAATACAATGTCGCAAATAATTAAAGAAAGCAATTTTATAATGAATGATACTTCAACTTCAATTAGTGTAATGGACTCTAATATTTTAACACAATTTAATATTCAAACAGAAAATAGCACCGCACACTCGCAAGATTTAATAAATGCTACTATCACACCTCATGAATTAACAAATACAGAAGAAAACAAAGGACTTACAAAAGATGGTAGGCCTCGCAAAAGGCAAAAATTCAATGAATCTGTAAAGGAAAGACAAGAAAAAAAGAAAAAGGTCAGAGATGAGCAAAATGATTTGAAAGATCCATGCACTGAAAAATGTATGAAGAAATGTGTAACTAAATTCACACCTCAGGTACGCCAAGATATACACGACAGATATATCGCTCTTGATTACGAATCACAAGGACTATTTATTAAATGTTGTATCGATGTTAAGCCTGTAATGCGCAGATCCCAAGTTACAGAAGACTACAAAAGAAAAACAACATATATTTATAATTTAAAAGGACCTGATAACATTAAAAAAGAAGTTTGTAAGACGTTTTTTCTTTCGACGTTGGGTTATAAGCCTAACAATGATAGAAGGATCACAACTGCTATGAGTAAAGCTATTGATGAACAAAAAACGACTCGAGGATCCTACAAAAGAACCATAATCGATAGACAAGCTATAAAAGATCATATCATGTCGTATCACCCCGCTATTTCACATTATAGACGAGAACATGCACCCAAAAAATTGTACCTTCCCAGTGATATCACTATCACAATGATGCATGAAAATTTTTGCTCTACAAGGCCGGATATTAAAGTTTCTCTTGAAGTTTATAGAAAAGTAGTAAGAAATGACCTGAACATTTCTTTTGCACACCTTGGTAATGAAGAATGTGAACAATGTGAATATTTTAAGCGTCACAATCGATTAGACCATCAAGAAGAATCTTGCGAGATATGCCAAAATTATAATATGCAACACAAGCCCAGATACATAGAGTCCCGCAAAGAATACAACGAAGATAGAGAGAAAGCAAAGACTGACACAGAAGTAATTTATTATTCCGTTGACCTTCAAAAAATTATTATGTTGCCAAGAATGGATCAATTCAAGACTGCCATTTTTTGCCCGCGGTTAATTGCTTTCAATGAAAGCTTTGTACCACTAGGACCCGCAACTAAGGATAACAAACCGTATGCTGTGTTATGGAACGAGAGTGTTGCCGGTCGTAGTCAAGAGGATATAATTTCTACTTTCAAGGCATTTTTGAACATTAAAAGGGACCAAAAAAATATTGTACTCTGGCTCGATAACTGTTCTGCGCAAAACAAAAACTGGTCACTTCTATGTTTTATGGTACAAATAGTGAATAGTACAGACATTTTAGCTGAGAGTATAACATTAAAATATTTTGAACCGGGACATACATTTATGTCCGCAGACAGTTTCCATCACCAAGTGGAACAATCCCTGACAAAAAAGGGAAAGGTTTATGATTTCGACGATTTTGTTGAGTGTGTCGGCAACGCCAATAAAAGGAAGAATATAGTAAAAGTAATGAATGTTGATGACTTTATCGCCTATGAAGATTTATCTTCTCAGCACAAATTGCGGAAAAATAATCCACGCGTTTATTTAACGAATATAATGGCTGTGAGGGTTGAACGAGGCCTTTTCAAATTAAAATACAAATTTAATCATGCTGATCAATACAAATCAGAACCTTTAGATTTTCTTCAAGTAAAAATCATGAAAAATGAACAATTCCCTGAAATTCAAAGAAAAACTTTGCCAAGGGGTATAGCTGAAGAACGCAAAGCAGCCATTATTGAAAAGTTAGTCCCGTTAATGCCGGCAAACAGGAAACAGTTCTGGATTAACGTACCAACAAATGAGACTGTTAAAAATCTTTTGGAAGAGGACTAGCTTTATATAACGGCCTAGAATTTCCAAAGACTTATTTTATTTTATTTTTTGTTTTTATAAGATATTATAAGAAGTGTTATTTTTTTTTAGATTTTTAAGCGTCGAACAAACTATAAGATTTAACAGATTATTAATAATTATTACCGATTTTATAATTATATTCTTGTAAAAGGGAGCCATGCCACGTCCTTAAATGTGTATTTACTAAGCTTATTAAAATAAGATTAATTAGTAATTTCACTGAATACTTTAAAAAAGTACATATATGTAAGACTGCCAAGTTACTGTGATCTCAGAAAGTGCCAATAATAGAATTAAGTCGTTGTTTTTAATTGTAAGATGTACGAGGTAATTTCGTTTCAAAATGTTACTTTAATAAATTCCGTTTTAATACACACATAAAAATTGATTGTTTTATTAGTGTATTTACAAATGTAATTATTATAATATCAGTCGGTTTATCCATACATTGACAGCTGAAAGTTGGCATATTTGCACTCGGTGCCGTAAACGCACAGAAAATTAGTCCTTTGAGTTTCTTACCATAAGAGCCCTAAATGTCAACGTTACGGCGGTTATGCTTATCATTACTTATACTCAGTACTCATTTTTCGCTGTCAAAAGCGCCATAAAATAAGTTCCATAGTATAAGCGCACTATCTGTGTTACTTACGACGCTTATTATAAGTATTTGTTTTAAAACATACGTCGCATTTCCTTGTCATATCACATTTTTATATCTTTTTTATTATCAATTTATTACTTAAAGTTCTTAAATAGCAATGAATACAAAATACCACCTTTTAACTACGGTAAGAATACAACAAATTTTAAATAAACAATATTTTTATATCCATAATCGAAGAATTAATTTTTAAAACTTTAGGCGCCATTTTCTAGGAACTTGCTGTCATACACTTGTCGCTCTTATCTTTAGCACGGCAGTATATCCCAATGTAAATAAACGCAAGATTTCGGCCACCTCAAATATCTTATTCAAGTGAGTGATAGTTACAGACCTATAGACACAATTTTAATCTTTTCACTGAATGACAATTGTGAGAATTTGTTATTTTTAATTTAAATTATACACAAATTTTCCACACATACCTCACAATCAAATAACATTTTAAAAAAATCAACGGAACTCAGTAATAAACTGTTAAATGTACACACTTTCAAATAAAACTATAATTATACTGGCGGAAAGAAAATAGTAAACAATGCTTATCACATGAAAAAATCAATATGGCCCCCGCGAACAAGAAACATATCTGCTAATTAAACAAATAAAACCTTACCATATTCAAAATTCATAATCCGCATACATGATTAATTATATTTCTGACTATTGTAATTTGGTGGATTTATAGGCAACGAACACTGCCGATTATACCCGAATACTGACGACAACGATTAGCGCGGGAGCCGAAGGCCAAGTGCAGTATCCTGCCGCTGTACACGGGCATATAAAATAAATGGGTGTGTGCGTATGCAAACTGTGCACGGACACCAAAATTACTACACACATGCGAACAAATGTCCTGCGCGAGGCGACGGTATGAGTTGCTTTGCGCTTGCTTTTCGGTAAACACCTGGCAAACAATGTTTGTGTGGTGCTATGCTATTTGTAAATAGTACGCGTTTTTAAGTTATTATATTTTGTTTTTTCATTTATTTACTATTAATTAAAGTCATCTAAAACGTACCAACGTTTTATTAAAATGACTTTGAATAGCAAGTAAAGCACTGCATTTCTGCCTACAAGGAGCGCACGCCCCTGCTAATATTCCAAGGAACTTCCACCCACTGGAAGTTGAAGAGGTTTCTAAATTTTGAATGATATGGCCTGCTAACACCGATTCCTAGCAACAACGGTCTCAATACTCAATACTTTATTGCTACCATAATGTAAATTTTACAGTTGGTAAAAACTTAAGCTAGGTATCAATTATGGACCCTGTCGGGCACAGCATAGAAGAGAGCGTCTCCGTCTCATAGCCATTCGAATTTCTTACGTCATCAATGGAGCCGGAGGGCGCTTCAATTTAACTTTCCTCACAGTCGCGTGCATATCATACAAGTTAAGAACTGCGTCATTAAAAATAGTAACTTTGTCGTCCATATCTGTGGCTGATGCCAAGTCTGTCCAGTCTAACGCCCCTGCACACAGGTTTTTGACGTTCATTCGTCTGAAACTACGAATATGTAGAAATTTGGGAGTGGATCCCTAATCATCATCAATCATCATCAACAGCCTCTACTAGTCCACTGCTGGACATAGGCCTCTCCTTAGAAAGGAGGTTTTTAGGGATCCCTAAATCCACTCCCAAATTTCTTTAGGATTTTAGGAGGTTTTAGGATATAAGAAAGGAAGATCAAGTCAGGGTGGGAAATCCAGGAGCAGGATGTTTACCATGGGAATAGATAAGTCTTGGACAGGGGTGATCATTAGATCAAGCCAAGTGTCTTGGTGCTCAATGTTTGTGATGAGTCGTTTGAAGGGGGAGGACATGGAGGCTAGTGGATTGGATGATGTGGAGGAGATTACGAGTACGGGGTGAATTAAGTGCTAGGAGATCAGTGTTAAAATCGGCCATGATGATGGGTATGAGTATTCTTACCCTAAAGATTCCAGAACTGTTTCCAGACTGGAGAAGTAATTGACAGCAGGGGGGCAATAAACTACCCCTTATAAAACATTAGATCCTTTGACACAAACTTCGAGGAAGAGGTATTCAGCGGTAGTAAAAGGTTCGGAAGAGGATTTGGCAAGTATGTTGTAGGGGAAACAACTACGGAGGTAAATGGCAACCCCACCGCCTCTTTTTGACTTTGGTCATTTCGAATCAGTACGAAGCCAGTGAGAGGATAATAGGTGGAAGCTAGATGCGGCTTAAGCCAAGTTTCCGAAATCAGGATGGCATGCACATTATTGTCAGTTGTTCACATTATGTCTCATTAAATACAAAACATTTAACTCGAATACAATACAAAAAAATACGTATAAATAATATTTTACACAAATATGTAATAATGAAACCAGTTTAACAAAAACAAAAAAAAACAAATAGTTTTAGAAAATGCAAGAAGTTAATTTAAAAATAGCTCAGAGCTTTGTGTTCTTACGTTTAAGTTACAAGAAACGGACACACTCGTAATGAATGACGAATGAACAAAACGTCGATTTGACAGATGCGATACCTGTTACAAGTCTTAACACAGTCATTATCAATTTCTAAGTACGTCAAATGTTAAAGATACAAAACAGGAAACAAACCAGCAAGGATTTATATGTCGGCGCCCGCGCGCCGCCTGAGCGAAACCGTAAACAACACGTGCACCGATCACGCCACCGAGCGCGTCATTCGATGCCTCACTCTCCCCACTACTGATTTGCGGTATAAAAGACGTGTAACGATCATTTTCAAGGCAGTCAAAATGCAGCGCACCTTAGACCTTCTGCCCCCCTTTTTTTTTTTTTTTTTTTTTTTCCGTGCGGAAATCCCCTCGGATACCACCTGTCGGTGGCATGTCGGACTCGAACCGACTAAAACCGCACGCCTTCGCCGGGTACTAATAGCCGGGGAACCAGGTATACCCTAGAAAGGAAGGCCCTGGTGCCCCGACATACCTCGGGTCATCTACAGACGAGTAGACGACCCCCGCCCCGTGTGGGAACCCCATGTTCCCTGTGCTCCCTGGAAGCGAGCGCGCTTCGCAACGCGCTCGCCGCCACCCCGGCCTGCTTCTGCTAGGGTGACAGATGGCCTCACCTGTCACCCCCAGGCCTGCGCTTATGGAGGACGGAGGTCGTTCTGCGACCTCCGGCGCCTGAGTCGCCTGCGCTGCCTGGCCCGTGCCCGGGCCTGGCGGGCCGGGAGAGTTCTAAACCTCTCCCGGTCCCGCTCCGCCGTCTCCTTCGCGAGCATAACTTGCTCGCAGAAGGAGACGGCAGAGTTCCACGCACTCTCGCTCCGCACGATAGCCGCAATCAGGCTATCGAGCGAGGAGAACTCCCACTCCGATGGCCGCCACGAGGTCTCGCCTCTGCTCAACCCACGCCGGGCACTCTGCCAGCGTGTGGAGAGCCGTGTCCACGGTCTGGCCATCGCAGTGGTGGGACTCAGGCGTTGGCTCCTTGCGGATCAGACACAGGTGATCTCCGAAACATCCCTTCCCAGTGATCACCTGCGTCAATCGGTATGAGAGGGTCCCGTGACGCCTCTCGAGCCAATCCTCCATAACGGGTCTTACCGCCGCAATGACGGCGTGCCCGGCGCTCGGTTGCCCGAGTCGTTCCCCTCCACTCCCCTATGATGACCTGGCGGAGTTGGGATTTCCGGTCATCGATTTCTCGAATCTCGGGGTATCGACCCAACTCCTGCGCCTCCTTGCGCCACTGATACAGTGCTGCAAGGGCTCTCACCTCCAGGTCCCACGGTGGAGTTCCGGCCAGGAGACTCGCCGCCTCGAAGGAGATCGTGCGATCGACCTTATGATCCTGATGGCCAGCATTCGCTGCAGTCGCCGCAGTATCGCGACGTTGCTGGCCTTCAGGGCCCCCGCCCATACTGGGCACCCGTAAAGGGCCATGGACCGCACAACCCCCGAGTAGAGTCTCCGGCAGGAGTCATCGGGTCCCTTCATGTTGGGCAGCAGCCGCGCCAACGCACGCGCTGCCCCAACCAACTTGGGGACCAGACCTCGGAAATGATATCCGAAGTCCCATCGGCCATCGAGTACGAGCCCCAGATACCTGATCGAGGGCTCGATGCCGATGCGAGTGCCTCCTACCGTGAGGCTAGATCCCTCAGGCGGCTTCCTCCGAAGCCCGTGGAAGAACAGGGCCTCGGACTTGTGCAGAGCCACCTCGAGACCCAGCCGCCGGATACGCTCAACGACTTGGGCAACCCCGGCCGTGGCCCTCAGGGTTGCCTCGTGGTGCGTCTTGCCGCGCGCCGTCACGAGTGTGTCGTCCGCGTAGCACACGACGGCGACACCATCCAAGAAGGCACCACGAAGCACCCAGTCGTAGCCGATGTTCCACAAGAGTGGCCCTAACACCGACCCCTGCGGAACACCGCACGACATTTCACGCCTACCGAGACCGGTCCTACTGG